ATCCTGAAAGGTCTGTTGCAGTTATCTACTGTAATAATAATGCTGTTTTGCATGTTGCAAGACACCTGAAGCAGCATCAATAAAGTAGTCTCACAGGGCCAGTTTGCTGACACTCTGTTTGTGCCCTTGCTGTACACAAGGTTATCTTCAATGGCAGAAAGTAGTTTTTCATTGCTCTCCGGTGACTTAGAGGAGGCTGTGGATCCTCTGACCTTACTGCCCATACAACATGAGCTCTGGCTGAAGGATGGTCTAAGCAAAACTTTGCTTTTGAAGTAGGAAAAATGTATTTCCTTATTTCATCCAGCAGACAGGACTGCATTCAGTCCTGCCTATAATATGACTTCACCCTTGTCCCTGCCATGATTTTCCAAATTTTGTCAGAAAGGTAGCTTACATATATTGGCTCTCTACTAGGCAATGCTGGGATTGCAATTTCTATCTAAACACCAGTGTGACACACTAAGATATTTATTGATCATTGTAGTAAGAATTTACTGATAGAATCTTCTTCTAAGCTGTCAAGAACCACATCAAATTTTCAAGAGAAAGAAGACATAATATTTTTTTTTAAAAATAGCAATATCAGAGCTGGCCAAATTTTCAAACTCATTCAGAGCTGGTAATCCTGTTACCAGACAGTCAAGGGAGATAGGCCAAAAGCACTTGCAGAGGTACACAGGCCTTTGCTGTTTTTGCAAGCACTCATCCCAAACTTTGGCCTTAACATCCATGAAAGCCAAACGAGGAGACTTCTTGGGATCCAGTTCACCCAAAACAAGACTTACAAAGGCAAAGTGATCAAAACTCATCACTCAAGTGCTTTCCAATATCAGTGGAAGGGGGGAAGCAGCAGAGCACAGTTCAACACCCACCTTGGCAGACATCTACCCCGAATTATATGATCACTGCACGTGACAATGTAAATGTTTGCACAGACACTTGACTTCTATGAAGCTACTACACATCAGTGGGAAAATGAAGCCTCTTCTGTGCAACCTGGGCAGCCAATCACTGCACAGAGCCAGCTCCTGCTAAGGCAACCATCCTCATCTCTCAGAGGTGATCCCTGCAAGTTCCCACCTTGGCAGGGCATTGATGGTGAAGAGACACTATTCTCCAGATCTCCACTGTAAGTGTACAGAGAGGAAAATACATTCTTTGGGGCTGCCTAAATATGTGTTTCTATCTACACATATATTGATATATAATGCAGGCTCTCTAAGAAACAGCTTTACAGTCATATGACAACCCGTAAGAGATTATGGGTTTAAGGTGTTATGTATTTTCTAAATTTCAGATCTTCTGTTACACCCCTTATGCAAAGAAAGCAGAGTTGTGAATGCTCCAAGGACAAAAGAACAAGGCACAGAGGCACCTTCATCGACTACTGCAGCAGTTCCTAGATTACAGCATCTCCAAGCAGAGTACAGAACTAACAGCTGTTCTCCTCCTCGTGTCTTGGCACTACCTGAACACACAGAAAGGGAAATACACAAAGACTGTATGGAGTATGTGAGTACAGTGGCTGTTAAAGTGGATAGTGCACACCAGTGACCGAACTTTTAAGATCATGAGCAGTGTGTGTGAGAAAAATGGACCTGTCAGGTAACACTGCACAACCCTGTGTAGCTTCAAGGGACAAAGACTGCTCAATTTTTAATTTCTGTTGTGAATAATTCATTAAAGGGCTAAGAAATCTTCTTGAATAGATGAAAGATAGGAGATAAAGGTCTCCTTCTCCTATTCATATTCCAAATCCTTGCCCAGCCAACTGGGTCTGTCCATACAAAGTACAAGTTTCCATATCCAGCTTTTTCTTTCAAAGTCAGAAACTTCAGCCCACTTAAAAATGGACATGTTCTACGCTGGTCCTGGAAGATACAGTAAAATTCAAACATTCAAGGAAATAACTAAGATGTTTCAATTTCTGGTTATTTAAAATATAGGGGGTTTTACATTAACAAAAACATACTGTGAATATTCCCAGCTGTTTCTCTTCAATGACTTCTCTAAGCCAAGTTGCAAAACACTGCCTGCCATAACTCGCTTTTAAATCTTCCCAAAAAACCCATATCAGAGCTAGGGTGAACTTTTAAAAATTTGATCAAACTGCATTCAAGTTCATCTTGATTTAAGGGATGATAAAAACAAGACCTACAATTTCTGCTATTATTCCAGCATAGCCAATTAGGATGTTTGTACTTCTCAGGAAGCACTCAGCCCAAAAGGCCTGTTATAGGGAATGTGTAATCTCAGATTTTTGTGCTGAAAATATGTGTTTATCTTTAATCACGTCTTTAAGTGCATCTGAGTCAGGATGTTTGCAAGGCAAAAGAGCATCTGTGGTGGTGGGGTGGATAGCCAAATAATAGTAAGACATGAATCCTGAACTGTATGGACTGTAGACACTTCAAATACACATTAACATCAGTAGGACTGCAGTACTTCCATCCTTGATTGACTATTTTTTGCTATACATGTAACTTAAAATTATGGAAACCCTGAAGCATGTAAGCAGCAGTGATGTCTTTTTTTACACTGTGAAAAATCTTGTGTTTCTTCTTAATGTATCCTGACATATGAGCATGCTGTTTGAATATCTAAAAGTGACATAATTTAACAGAAACTGGACAAATAAATTTGGAATGTGGAATTAGCAAAAGCAGGGAGGAAAAGGAACTAGTTTTTGAGGAAACTTCATCAGCTGGTGTAAAACTTACATTGTCATTACCTGGCATAGCAGAATATTGAATGCAATATGGGGTAGGTCTTTTCTTATGAGTTACTGAGCAGTGAAGTGCTCTGTTGAATTGCAAGAGTGCCACTTTCTGAATGCAGGTGTGCATATCTGGGGAGGAGGAGACTAGCAGGCACAGCCACAAGGGTGTGCATCACATCCTCATTAGTAAAGAGCATCAGCACTCAGCAACTAACAGAGAAACTGACTGGTGAACCCTGAAAAAGATATTTTGCAATTTTTTAAAAAATCTGCTTGATTGACATTTTGCAATCTGTTCATTGAGAAAGACCTATTTTTGATAGATTTAATCTTATTGAGAACACTTTCTATGAAGTTTTGAAAACTGTTGAAGCATTTTGTGCTGTCAATCTTTTAAGTCAAAACTACATTTTTAAGATCAGTGGCGGTTTTTCATTTTCAGAGTTAACATACCTGACAAAGAAGAATCAAGAATGGAAAAACATGAAAAACCAAATAAAACATTGTACTTCATCCAAATAAAAGCATTTCTAAAACCACTAACTTGAAAAATATTATATCTGACTTTTCATTTGGACCTGAGTATTTTTTGAGCTCAGACGTTTTTCCTGAGACAAAAATATTTTCCTTGCTATTCCATCCAGAGGGACCAGTTAGGAAAAAAAATACTGTTTCTATTACTATTTTTGTCCCTAAGCATTTTTGCTTTCCATATTTCTCTTCTTCCCCCCCCCCCCCCCCCCCCCCCAACTTCCTTCCTTTCCTTTCTTAAAATGCCCTATCTACTAAAAAGAAGAAGAAAATTGATTCTGGAACTCAAGATTCTTTCCTCTTGCTCTCCTCTTTTCCTCTGTTTATTCAGAAGGAGTAAAAAAAAAAAAAACAAATCCTATATTAAGCTGAAATTTTATTCTGCTGTTTTCTGTTGAGCAAAAGATAGTCCACTAAAGCCACTAAATCACAGATAACATTTCTCTGGGCAACATTATTAGGAACTGACAGCTGAAGATAGATGAAGATCTCATCTTTTAAAGAAAAAAGTACATTTAATTTCCTTTGTACATAAAATAGAGAGCACAGCATTGTGTATCTAAAGATAAAAGAGATCCCTGTGTATGCTGGGTGCCATCCTTACAGAAATGTAATACTGGTCTCTGTTCTGAGCTTACACTGAGCTTTAAATTCAAATTCATTTAGAAACAACTATTCTTCAATTCATGGTAGATCGTGAACTTTAAAAAAAGAAGGTGACATTTTACCTTAGAAAAGAACAGCTCACAGAATGAATTGTTACCTTTTGGGAGGAACACTGGAAGACAGGACAGAAAGAGGAGGGAGGATGGATCTGTAAGGCAGAGATGGGTTTGCCCCTGGTCCTCAAGGGATCATCCTGGGAGCCACTAGGCCTCCTTGAGATTGACACCATAATGGATTTGATACTGAACACTCCAACACAATGGAGTTGGTATTGAACATCAAGGATGTCTTGAAACAGACATGCTAAAGCTATGGTCATTTTTTCCACCAGCTGAGGCACATCATGCCAGGCTCCAAACATGCCAGGTGAAAGGGAATGAATTTCTTCTACAGAGGCACTGGCAGTGTAGAGTATGCCCTTTTTTCTGGCAATCTTTTTGGATGTGGTTTTTTTTTTTTTCCCTTTCTCAGGGAACCTGTGACTATGACACATACTATTCACATTTGCAATGTATAAACATATTTCATGTGTCCTTTCTGCAGCACTACCCTGTTACTTTGGTTGCATTGGATTTTAACACATCCCAGGCAGCATGGAAACAGTGAGAGTGAAACTTTGTTTGCCTGTTAAGCAAGAAAGTTACACATGTAGTTAAACACATGCTTAACAAGAAAATATGGTCAGTCCGATTCCAGTGGTAGGAAAGACTGCTTTTGGCTCCTGAGGAGAGTACAAGTTTTAAGAAGAACATCTGTATGGAGGTTTTGTTTCTAAGTCTAGAGCCTATTTGTGTGTTGGCTGAGTCTGGTTGCAAGCCCTTGTAAGAAATGAAGGCCTAACACTAAGCAATTACCTTCCCTTGATTAAAGGCTTCTACTCAGCTAGTCTAAAATAAGAGTGGAAATTTTTTTGTGACTCTTACTCCACTGAAGGATGAAAGGTGGTTTTCCACTGAAAATACTGGCAATAAGCAGCCCTTCTAACCATAAAAGCTTGAAGGAAAATTCTTTGACCATCTTAATGTAAAAATAGTTATTCTGCTTTCTTAAGACTTCAAATCATGCCCTTCTTTCTTTTTCAAGTGGACACAGTTTATAGCAAAGGATAACATTAGGCTTTCCCATTTATTGCAGAAATAAGTGCCTCTGGAAAATACAGAATATAAAATGAAACTTGCCCTGGATTCAAGCTGGAAATGCAAATATAGCAAGTCAGAGCAAATGCAAAATCATCAAGTACAAGGGTCTGTGTAGTTATTTCACACAGTGAAAACTATTGTTTTGAGTTTCATCCAGACACAGGCAAGCACAGTGAAACTCAAAGTGTCCACGTAAAACATCCAATGAACACTGACCTTCAAATCTCTCTAAATTGCTGCTTCTCTGTGAAGAAATGGATTTCTTTCTCTGCTTTTTGGGACTGGTCCCCAGCTGATGATGGGATAGACTTAAGTTGCTTTTCAGAAGTTTTTGCATTCTATATTCTGATCTACAATTCCCATCACTCATGTCTTATTACACCATAATGTATCTTTTTTTGGGTACAAGACCCTTTCTCAAGACCTTGGAAGATCACTGTGAGCAAGATTGCTCTCTGCATTCTAATTCAGTAAGTTTTTAACATCCAACTGCTCCTCCAGATGTATCTAGGAACTTCAAAATTCAACTGCTGTGCTATTCAGTAGTTTTGAGAGCTTTTGGCACCACAGCAGCTACAGCTTTTCCTAAGGTTCTCCTTTATCTGTTAATATCTCTGAGCTGAGGTAGTGAGCATTTTGGGTCACCCACGCATCTGCCCATTCAAAGTACAGTAGGAAAACAACTCTCAATAAGCAGGATCCACAGGTCACATCTCACACAGAGGTCTGGGCAGCATTTTGGGCTGCAGACAGCTGCCACCAGGAACCATCCAGGCAGATACCCACATCTGACCCTGGAGACAGGTGCCCCAGATTTCCTCCAATTCCATGTCCTGCTGCTTTTCTTGTTATGGAAGATCCCAAAGACCAAGCTTGCTGATGAGAGAGATAAACACCTCTCCTTGACTGTCAGAACAGGGATTTTGAAACTGATTTTTCAACCCACGTACACACCTAGCCAGGCTTGCTTGTTTTATTTCTAATTTCAGCAACACTGATTAGAAGATATGGCTTCTTCAGTCCTCTCTTTTACCTTGATAATACTGAACACCTCTCACTAAAGCCTTGCTTTCATTCTCCTCAGATCTGTGGATGCCAGTTACCAAAGAAGATGCAAAAATGTCAATTAATGTCTCAGACTGACAATTGTACTTAATTACCTCTGACTCCCTCCACTCACAGATGTTTAGAATTATGATTCAGGAGCTGAACAAAGTTGTCTTCAGGAGCCTTAAAGATAACTAGAAGTGCTCTAACTGGCTTTCAAAAGGATAGTTCAAATAAGCAGCCAAACTGAGCATGAGTTCTGAACTAATTGAAATTTGCCTCTCCTGCTGCTGTTATGAACTATAATTCTCCACATTTCTGGAGTGCCTTCTACTCTAGGTTGCATGACAACTTAAGAGACTTAATTGGCTCTCAACATGCCTTTCAAAAGTATTATTTCCAATTCAATGGGTAAGAAAAGCACAGCATAAAACATCAAGCCATTGTTCAAGTGCATGGCAATAAAGATGAATTGCTGGAATAGCCCTTCCCATTTTGTGAAAAGTACAGCTTCTGTACCAGCTATTATTGGTTTAGCATTTTTTATAATTCATAAAAGAATCAACATTAAAAAATTATTAAAATAAGTCATCATTAAAAACATGGTGGGTTTTTATTTTAGTGGACAATCGACAGATATAGGCTGTCTTCTAAAATGTAAGCTGAAGAGAAGGACAAGTTGGAAAGTTTATATGCAAGTTTTCCAACTGCATATAATTTTTTCTCAGAGATGCTAAGATAAATCCATTGCTTTCCAGAGAGGCCACTTCAAAAAGGTAGTTACACATATGCTCTTAGGAACATTTAGTGCCTAAGAAAACGGAAAGGCGAGGGAACCCCACAACAAGCAAACAATCAACTAAGATTGGGGCCTAAGGACATAATAAATTGTTCCACGTAAGTAATTATTTACAACTACATTCCAAATCTGCTGAAATAAGATGACCATTCCCAAAACAGTCTTTGCATAATATCAAATTACTAAAAATACACAGGATATTTCAGTGAGTGTTTTATTCATCAAGAAAACGGATAAGGGCTTCATGTAAGAGAAATATCTTTGCTTCTTCACATGGAGAAAGGGGCTGTTTCTCCTCCACATGCTGTTCTTAGAAATCCATGTGTTTATTTCAGGAGCAGTGCTGGTCCATATTGTGAGCTATCATGCAAGCCTGGGAACTGAGCACGCCTCTCCATATGCAAAGCAGTGGCAGCTTCCCATCTTCAATCAAAGCAGGGAAAAGGAAGATGTGCATCCTCTCAAAAAGGCAGTGAATTTGCAGAGTCCACACCAGTGGGGAATGCAAAGACACATTTCCAGTGGTCTAGCTCTCACTGTAACATTAGCAGTGATGCAGCAAGAGTCCTAACTGAGAGAATGCTGTCAGGAGAGCCAAAGCTCTGATGTCCTTTGCACGGTCAATCTTCCAGTCAGTGGAACTGCACCTGAACTTGAATTTAAGAGCTGAAAAAGTTCTTAACAAGTTACGCAGTATTAATTACTCATTAGTTGTCATATTTATATTTTATTTGCCGAATGACACAACAATTAAAGCAATTTCCTCCTTTTCCTCCTTGTCTAGGTCGAGCACAGCTTAATGCCTCTGTATTTTAGCTTTTCACTGGTTTCCCTATAGCATTTATTATTGCCTACTTTTGCATTGTTCCTGTTATTCCTCTCCTGGGTGGTTTAATTTGTTCATACTTGATTTAGAAGCAGAGATATCTATGACATTGAACAGGGAAATACACTAACACACAGCTCCAACCTTGTTCCAGATTTCATCCACCATTTTCTGATGGTTTTCACAACTCTATCAGAAGAAAACATGTACAAAACACGCCTAAGATATTTCATGTGATGCTTTATGAATTCCTTTGTCACTCCCTAAAAATCAATGTTAATTCTTCCTCCTGAGTGAAAGACTGGGCCTCACCACTGTCAGTCTAAAGAAAATGAAGTGCTGAGAGAAGATCTACATGAGGAGGCTACCCTAAAAAAAGTGTCCAAAAGGACATTCAGATTGCAATTGACACATCCTGCAGAGGGGAGTGAGGCAACACTTTTTCCAAAGACAGTTCCAAAAGGATTTACAAATAGGTGTCACTGAGAGTTTTGAAATGAGACTCTGCTGTTAATACGTATTCTATTGCTCCATTCCTCTGATGAGGAGTTTCACAAGTCTATTGCAACACCTTATCAAAAGCTTAATTTCACTTGAAAAATTGAGAAGGTGCTTCTTCATTGGACTCCCTCTGCAGAAGGGTCCTGAATGTTAGCACAATGTCCTCTAACAGCAAAGATTTAGCACACAAAGACAAATATAAAAAGAAAAGCATTTCAGAAAAATTGATTGGAACATAAAAGACTTCTATGCACATGCACAAATACACCTGTAAGATGAGCTTTGCCACTGTGTAATGGTTCAAGAAGATTCTGCTACAGTATTTACTCACAGAGAAGCAGCACAGCTCTTTGCAAGGAAGAGTTCTTCCAATTTAAACTGAGAGGTTCCAGAGCAGAGGTCCAGCCTGCATGAAGGTATTGATAAACTAATCACAGAAATTTAATCACCTCTAAACAAATGTTATTTGACCAATTATCAGCTGACACTCAGTACATGCCTTTATGCAGTCCCTGGAAATTAAACACAAGAGTATTATTTAGCCAAAATTGGACTCATTGTTCTGAACAGCTGATATGCCTGTAGAGTCCCTTCCAAGCTAAAGGGCCTGAAGTCATGCAGGGGCTCCCTGAAGCAGCACTTATCTGGTCACACATATCTAGATGACAGCACTGTTGTTCTCATTAGGATGACAACTTCTGGTACTGACAAGTGACTCTTGAAATGTTATTCCTTGCTGAAGCAGTTTTGAATGTTAGAGACTGAAAAACAATGGGATAGTCTCAGTAGAATAATCAGCTTTTTTAAATTGAAAATTCACATATACAGCCTGGATGTAATGGATGCAAACAAAGAGCTTCATATAATACAGTGCCTTTTGTTCTGATCTCACAGTTACTTATATATACACCACCTGAATTGTACAGTGCAAATGCTCCCATATCTCTTCCTGACACTGGATTAAAAATTAAGACAGTCCAGCCTGAGATTTTTTTGACTTTTTTTCCAGAGGCAGCAAAGGCAGCTTTCTCAGTCACTCAGTCTTGAGACGGAGAGCCTCCCGCCGTTGTTTCTGAACCGTCCTGGAATCTTCCCACAGACTGGGTCCTCTGATGTTCTCCCAGTTATCCAAGTTGGATTTTTCCAGCTTCTGCAAACAGCAAAAATAACAGGGTCACCTTGATGAATCCATGATTTAAAGTACCTATGATTCCAAATTGATTTTTTTTTCACAAGAAACTCAATATCACCATTGGGTTGATGAACTTTCAATTACCCTGCATGAGAAGTTCAACAAGGAAGAAAAACCTAGTAGTTGTCCATATAGCTACATAAATGACTAAGATAGGCATTACTGCATCTGCTTGTCAGCAGGTAAGTAACATTTAAGGACAGGAAGCACTGCAGCATCTGAGCAAGACTGAAGATACCTTGTATTCACTTTTCTGATCTGTTCTTCAACTGCAAGTCCGCCAAACACTGAAGTAGCAGGAGTGACAAGTTTTGGTATAGCTCAAACAGAAGGATTAGAAATTAGTGAGCTGAAGTATCCTGTCAGCAAAAATACAAAGCATGCTGGAAAAGATTTATTATCTAGCACAAAGACAGACAGCAACGGTGCAAACCCCTTCGATCCATGTGGTTTTAACTTGAGAGAGGTATGTGCAATGCTTTCTGCTGACCAGTTTCCCATGGCACCCAGCCACCACAGACAGGCCTCTTACTAAGTCATACATGAGATATGCTACCTGACTGAACTGTCAGGTACTGAAAACCGGATTTAATTACCTTTTTTTGGTCTACTCCTATCATCCCCCCTCAGACCTACCAATGACTTAGAGGCAACAAAAATGAAGAACAGGCGCCCTGCGACCTCACCTACCATGTGCTGCAGTCAAAGATCACAAACATGTATTACATCTCCACAGTCCCGTTGGCAGAGGTGTAGCTGTCCCTTCCCAGGACACACACCTCAAGTCTCACATGCCAGCTGTGGAACAGCACATTGGACATGGTGGAGAGACTGAGGAGAGGGTCTGCACCACTACCAGAATCAGTGCTGCCCTCGGTGCTACTAAACAGGGCAACACTGCATTCCAGTAATGAATGATACTTACTGCAGTGGGACTCAAACCTGACCTGTGATCAAGGCCTCATCTCAGCAAATGCTGTAAAAATACACCAGAAAATACTTCACCCTGCCCTACGCCTGTGGCCTAATTTGTCTACTATCAATTATTCAAATAAATGGCAAACACCCAGGGACTTGAATAATAGTTGCAGAAAAATTCAACAGCTATAACAGAATAGACCTACTGCTTAGTTCATTTTACGTGAAAGTTTCCTGACACTTCTACAATTGAGGAAACTGCAATGAGGTTAGTCAGATATCAAAAGAAATTAGGCAACACTCTACAGAAGATATATGAGAACATAGGCACAAAGATAGCAGACTTTCACAAGGTAAGAGCAACTGAACTTTTTGTAGAGTTGGCATAGGTCTTTCTGAAGAATTGTCTTTACTACTTTATATATCTTATGCTTAGCTGGTACTTCATTTCCCCAGAAGGGATCTGAACTGACATGAAAGGAGAGAGAAGGAGGAAAGGTACACATCATCCATCAGTGACTATCTCCTCTGATTGCAAATTCAGAATTTAACATCTGATTCTAATGGAAGCTTCAAGGAAACAACACTTAAAATAACCTTGTGCTTTAACTGAAGGGATGCATGCTGATTTAATTCAGCACAAAAGTATCACACAACTGTGAGGATCTCAACTATTCCAAAGTTGCTTGTCTCCCAAAGCCAGAACATTAATCAACTTTTAAAATAAGTACAACAAAACTTGTGGTATCTAGATAGGCTACATAAAGAAGTCTATCAAAAGAGACATGCGTGCTGAAGATCTTTACCTAAAAGTTCATATTAATTTGTCCCTGAAACTTCACAGAGGCTTTACAGAGAGAAGGTTTGTCAAAACCAGGAAGCATTTCAAAACTATAGTATCCATGCAAACCAGTACCAGGAAGTATCTTGGCAGTTTCCAATAGAAATCATAAAGGTACCTAGAAAACATACTGGGATACATTGACAGAATAAAACAATCAAGGGTTACATGCAATGAATGGCACTGCCTGAGATGACAAATAAGATCTATTAATCAATTAAGAAATAAAGGTTCTAATGCATACATAGGAAGACTATATTTTTTATTATCATTGTATTTATAGAGATCATTAACATTTTGTGTCATGTATAAACACTTTGTAGTATCTTACTGCAATTCAAGAAAAAAGCACCTTCCTTACTACCATGGGACAGTATCTGCAAAAATTTAGTTTATGGGATAGTTATCAGTCATCAGAAGGCAGAATGATTTGACATTCCAACTTTCTGGACCAATGCTATCCAATTTTGGAATAACAGAGCACTCCTGTTGCATGTGGATAAGCATAAGGAGCATCACTACTGAAAGGGGACATGAGAATCTGTTCTGCAATGCTTTCCTATTGAATAGCTATTTTCACATATCTCTGTGCTGGTACTGGATGGGGTAGAGTTAATTTTTTTTATAGCAGCAAGTATAGGGATATGTTTTGGATTTGTGTTGGAAACAATGTTGGAAACAAAACAGGGACGTTTTCATTATGGCTGAGCAGCTCACACAGTGCCAAGGCTGCCTCTGTTTCTCACTCCACCCCACCTGCCAGTGAGCTGGGGGTGCACAGGAGGGGACACAGCGGGGGCAGGTGACCCCAACTGACCACAGGGATATCCCACACCATATGGCACTGTGCTCAGCATGTAAAGCTGGGGGAAAAAGGAGGAACAGGGGGACATTCAGAAAGATGGAGATGGAGTCTGTCTTTCAAAGTAACCTTTAAATGTGATGGAGCCCTGCTCTCCTGGGAATGGCTGAACAGCTGCTGTCCATGGGAACTGGTAAATCAATTCCTTGTTTTGCTTTGCTTACACCAGCACCTTATGCTTTAGCTATTAAACAGTCTTTATCTCAATCTATGAGTTTCCTCACTTTTACCTTCTGAATCTCTCCCCCATCCCATCATCACGCGCGAGCAGCTTCGTGGGGCTTGGCTGCTGGGGTTAAACCAAGACACCACCTCACATACAACTGAGTAAAACCCTACCCTTTTTGCTCAGTCACTGACATGAAAATTCTAATAGCAGAATTATCCAGAATAAATAGCTACATTAGATGTAAGCTAAAGACATGCACATAGCTACATTTTAAATTCATCTTAGCGATGAGAGTAAGACCAGATTGACAGTCCACTTAATTAGGTGCAGCACAAACTGCAAAGTTACACAGCTCCTTCAGATTGCCTGAGCTGTACAGTGAGAATCCAGGCAAGCAGCTAGTTCTCGTCTCATATAAAGCTGAAGTCAACATCTTTCATTTTATCTGGCTAGGTCTTCTGGATTTCTTATTTCTTTTTTTCATTTGAGCCGCTTCGACTCTGCCTACCTAATTTTATGAAGACATCACATCACATGTTAAACTACTTCCAGCTTTTACTAAACTGAAATTCATATGAACTGGAAGGCTAAAACCTGAAATACTTCTTCTCCCAATTCAAATGTACTAAACACTCAATCATTGGAGACAACAATGAAATGTAATCAGATCAGATCAGCAGCACTTTTCCTGCTTGTCTCAAATAGCCCAAAGGATATTGAAAATTAGCTGTTTAAAGTAAGATCAGTATAGTCCATTAAATCTACTGATTCACTCCCTAAATCAGCTAAACTGCCTCTTAAGAGTACAGGACTGACAGAAGCTGTAAATTCAAGGGAAAAAATGCAGTTATTCAGACAGGCACAGTGAAAAAGAAAAATATGCTCAACTGTTTGCTACACTTGACTTTTAAGACTTATTAAATGGCTTGACTGGTGCAAAGGTACCAAAAAGGATATAAAAAGACCTTCACTTCTTAATTGCTGGTTCAAATGCCTGGCTTAAGTACAAGTTGTAAGACTCTGACAGCCTTAAAAGAAGATAACATTTTAAAGAGTTTGAATTCTACTGTTGCAGGATAGTCTTCATGCCACAATATACAAACTGAAGTCCGCAGAAATTAATTTAGAACTATTAGTGTTCAGGCGGAGTAAATTCAAGGTGGCCACTTGCAAAAATTCCTAGCTTTAGTCTCAGTTTCTCACATGTGAAAGGAGGGATAAGAGAATCCTGTTTACTTTACAGCTTGATGAAATAAATCCTGTGATGAACACCACAGAAAGAAATAGCTCTGATATAGAGAGCCAATTATTTCCCATCATTATAGAAAGCAAACCCATTTGCAGACAAAAGATGAGCCAGGGAAAAATATCCTCATGGCTGTAAATTAAACCAACTGAACAGTCTGATTTTTAAAGGTGTCAAAAAAGCTTGAAGAGACAAAAGGTATATTGACGAGATCTATAATGATATATAGATGGAGAGATACAGAATCACATCTAACACTGAATCTGCTGTCTCGTGTAAATTGAAAATCTTAACTTCATCATTGCACTGATATGGCTTTAGTGGGGTTTTTTATATAACTCTTTCACAGAGCCATCTTTCTGACATCTCATTTTCTTAATATAAACTGGGTGTTACTTTGCCTAGGAAGTGACATAATTTAATATCTGCAATTAGTGATTTAATAATCTGGGATTTAATAGCCCATGATTAGTGACTGAATCCTCAGTTCAAAAAGAAGGGTTTTTTTCCAATTAGAGGATGTTTAGTTTTTATGATTTTAGGAAACAAGCAAGTTAGTAAGCAGCAAAATATGGCCAGAATAAGATTGGTTTCTGTTCATTAAGAGAATAATTGTGGGGGGTGAGGGGGGACTGACATGTAAGCATCCAGAGAGCTGCTTCTCCTTTTGGCTTTACTGAAGACTGGCAAAATCCAATAGAGGCTTAATTGCTTAGTTCAGTGGGATCCAATAGCATTCATCTATGGCACAATTAATTAACCTATGGTGAACTGGTTTAAGAGACTTTCCCCATGCATTATTTTCCCTTTAATTATGCCAATTCAATGATGTGGGGTTGTGCTCCAACTAGAAACAACAAAACAATTTAGGAAAATAAATCCATACTGCTTATGAACAAATCCTATAGAAGGACAGGACTAT